CCAAATGTCCTGATACGGATTTGGTCCAAAGAACCTTAGGGTCTTAAACCGTTATTTCGATGAGGCACGTTTTGGCCGTATCAAATCTGTATAGCTGAATGTATAAAACACGCAATTGCAAATATAAAATTTATTTTCTAACAGAAGATCTATTATGAAGATGATATATGTATATAAATATATATGTCAACCCCTTTCCGTACCTCACCCACAATGGGTCCCAATTTTCAATACCTTTATCTGCCATAACTTGCGGAAAAAGTCAACGATTCTTTACAACTTGCTTTATCTAAATATTTCTCTCAACCAGTAACCTGAGATGAGAATGAAATTTATGATTTCGCACAAAATTAAACATAAATTTCCGATATACTAATATTTTTTGTCTGTATAAGATGAAGTATTAAAGTGGAATACTTCGGTCGACTATATCTGGTACGCACATTTTAACATTGTATAAAAATCACAAATGTCATATAAAGTGAAGGAAGTAGTCGCTATATAATCCAAACCTTGCACGTCACAATATTTATACCATATTTATTTAGGTCCGATACGAAATGGACAATATTGGAGAATTCTTTCAAACCCCACTCCATAGAGGGTCAACAATTTAAATAATCATAACAGAAGTTACAATATATTTAAATATTCGAACATTGGATGAAGGTATACATCTGTCGGCAATACCGACTGATACTTTTTAACTTGTTATAGAATTATTTTCTGTCGACAAGTCTAATTAGAACGTAAACAAATTTTGTAGTTTACATTTAAATGTTACTCTTGATGCCGGAGCAACGAACTAATATGGGATACATTATTCATAGGTTGGCTTACTATCAATGTTTTCCTTAGCGTTGTTCATCTTCTTCAGCAATTCATTCGTGTTGATGTCTTGTTTTCGTGCCACATGTGGCAAGAGCAACATAAGCAACACACGTCAACACTTATCGCGCCTGGGTCTTATTCAAATATTTTTCATTAATATTTTAATATTTACACTTGGATGCCGTTCCCACGTTTGCCACGAAATACAAAAGGTAACATAAATAATATTTCTTGGGAGATTCTTAAGAATTCCACCTGAGTGTGTGTGAGTTTGCTTGTATGTGTGAGAGAATGTGAAAGGTGCGTGTGGTGTACCGGCAAGGATCATCCTGTAGCTGTATTTGTTTTATATTAAATGTTACGTGTCTCTTGGTGTTGGATGCTGAAATTAATCACGTACCATGGTGGGCATTAAGTGGAATTCAATTGATAGTAAAACATGGTAGAGTATACTCACATGGACACAAACCCATACATACATGCACTCTTAAAAGGTAAAATGGTATCCATTGTATTTGGTTTTTGCCTAAAATACATATTGAGGTAGGTTTTTGTTGAAAGGCTCATAAATACGTTGGGAGCTTTCCAATATTATTTATTTGAAAGACGTTTCTATTCCTTTTTTCTGGAGAGGGCAATTTTGCCATGAGTGCTTTTATAGATTTTTCTTAGTTTAAGAAATTTAGTTTACACGTGACAAATGGTGGCACGTTTCTAAAACGCGCACACACATGTGTGGAATATGGTATTTTTGGAAATAGTTGAGTACAAAGCGTTGTAAAATGGTTTATTTCCAATTGTGGGTTTCTGGGAAAATTTAAATGTGGGAGGAACATTTTTAGAGGAGAATTGTAAAGCCATCAATCCCCAACTTGAAAAATTGTCAATAACCGCTGAATAGTGTAGTCAATTTAATCTCCAGGTCGTCAATTTTGACAAGCATTTGCTTACTTTTTGTAAGCCATTAAGTTTAAAATTTTCTTCCATTTAGGGAGCTTATAATCTGCAGGTGAAATTCAGTATGGAAAGGTCGAAAGTTCTGCGTATTTACCAGAACTTCCTTAACAAAAAAAAAAAAAAAAAAAAATATATATATATATATATTTTGCATTTACATATATGAAGTGGATCATACCAACTATGAATCTTATTTGAATGCGAATCATGCCTTTAATAGATTTTCAATAAATTTGACATAGGTTCTAGTACCAAATAATATGGTTGTATAGTATATGATATGACTTCGATAATGTTAATATATAAAAAGATATTTATTGGAGCAATAGATATACCGGACCGAGTCTCACAAAATGGTAAAATTCGTTTGAATATGAAGAAATTTATCCAATTTGGGCTGATATAACATATATGTTGCACAATAACCGTAAAATCGGATGAAGATGTATATCGAAGCTACATAAAAATCTGAAAATTTGGTAGAGGTATTTTCCACCTGTATCTGCATCCGGTATCAAAAATCATCATTGTGGAGTGCATATTATGCATATGAGGGACTTAAATACAAAATAGGATGACACATATTTATGGGAGCTATAAGAATATCTAGACCGATTTTCACAATATTTGAAGTACTTTTTTCTAGGGTGAATTCCGTCGGAAGTTCCAAAATTCATTTTATCTGGGCTGATATTAGCCATTTGGTGCACAATATACCTGAAATCGGATATATATATATATATATATATATATATATATATATATATATATATATATATATAATTTGAAGTACTTGTTTCTAGGATGAATTTTGTCGGAATTGATGGAATCGGATAAAGGCCTATATGGGAGCTATATCCAAATCTAAACCGATCTTGATAAAATGTGGTAGAGGTATTTCTGGGCTGTATCAGATATCTAATATCATTCTTGTAAAGTGCATAATACGAATGTGACTTACTTAATCGGATGAGCTATTGCTATAACTGAACTGATTTTCACCAAATATGATGTACTTGCTTCTAGACTGAATTCGATTGGATGTGCCAATATTCAGGTCATTGGGTTGAAGATATACAGGGTGAGATGAAAAAACAACCAACGTCAGACTTCTGACTTCATTAATAAGCCACTCGTCTGACAGCTGTTAAAATTATTCCATTGACAGCTCATTACATTGTTTACAAGCGTACAAAAACATTTTGGTGAGAATTTTCCAGAACAAAAAAGTTATTCATGATGGAATTCATGATGTGATTTCTTTATTGGCTGGAAAACCACAAGTGGCTATCGTTAGAGCACTCCAGCATTTAAATGAGAATAAAACTTTTGTGTCTCGTACCATTGCTCGTTACCGTGATACTGGTAGCGTAGCCCGACGTCAAAGAAGTGGAGGGAAGAAAACAGCAACATTAGCAGAAATGGTTCGAAAAGTAAAGAAGCGACTTGATCGAAACCCGCGTCGCAGTGGCCGAAAAATGGTTCGTGAGCTGAGCATGTCGCAATATTCCATTGGGCAAGTATCAAAAAATGAGTTCGGGGTAAAGACATTGAAATTCCAAAATGTGCAAGAACTTACACCTCAACAGAAAGAAAATAGACTCAAAAGAGCTAAAGAGTTGCTTTACTTGGCCGAAAGTGGTTAACTGCTGAATTTTGGTTTCTCCGATGAGAAAAATTTTTTATCCAGCAGTTTGTAAACAAACCAAATTATCCTGTTTACTTGGCAAAGAGGTGAGATGAAAATTTGCACCTTCGGTTGGCCACCAGAACTCAAGCGTCGGCATAACAGCCAATGGTCGCTCTCCGTTCGTATAAATCGTCCGTGGCATCAGAATAAATGTCGAATATTATCGCGAAAATATTCTGCAGGGTGTATTAAAGCCTTGGGCACACAAACATTTTGGCCGCAGACCTTGGGCGAATAGTTACAAAATGAGGATACCGGATACCAATCTGTTGGACTATTTTTTCTGGAGTACTTTGGAAAGCAAGATTGGCACTAAAAAATACCAAAGTGTCGATCACCTCAAGCAAGCGCTTCGCCGGGAATGTGACGGTTTCATTGGCCCTTTGAAGGTCATAATTTGTGCCAAAGATGACCAATTCGTACAAATCTAAACTCGGGAGATAGAATGTGATTTGTATATGTGTGGTGTTGCAAACAGTTTGTAATGTTGGTTTGAACTGGTGGACGGGATATCGTGAACAAAAGCCACACTAAAACGAGCAAAAGTCAAAATCGCAAAAAAAAAATAGATGAAACTCCATTTCTGTCAGAGGTACCGAATTCGAGTAGAGAATGAAACTCGTTCGATGATTCCGGAGCTCTGATTTAAACGGAATGTCACACTAAATATGTTTCCCATACTATAGTTGCAGACGTGACGATAACGAGAGTCAGACTAAAACTTTTGTATATTTGGTATAAATAGTTTGGACTACTTCAGCCAACCTCAATTCCGTTGTATCGGGAACCATGATTTGGTGATTCGTCAACACTTACATATAAAACATGTTTGAAATAGGTTTCAGATATGTCTCCCTCCATCCCAGGATGTAACTCTGTCATCAACTAAGGTTAGGTTAAAAAGAGGCACTAACCTAGTATCTAAAAGACCTAGCGGACATACACATAAGCCTACAATTCGGACTGTTGTACTCTCTACTGTTCCCTTATAGAGAAAGATGTCATGACAAACTCAAATCGAGCATATGTTAAGATTTCAGTAATTTTAACAAACTCTCGTATATTGTTAAAATGTATCCTTGATATGACATAGATCTGGAAGAGACAGCACTTTCGTTGGACTTTGTGCAAAATTCTAATATTACACTACTTATCAATTACTGTACTCCTAGATATTTGACTTCACTGGATATATTTATTGTCTTGTTTAAAACTGGTTCGTCGAAATGCCCAAGCTTAGTTTCTGGTGAATAGACGATTTTAGTTATCCATGAGTGGCGATAAAATTCCCTGCTAGAAAGTTACCTGAATAACTCAGCTAATTATCATTCCTTAGTATTTGGCTTATACCATTAAACATTCTCTAATAAATGTATGCATGTTGCATGAATTTTGACATCTCGGTTGGAATCTTGCTTTTAAGAAAGACGTGAGGCTTATCGTCAGTTATGCCTGAGGTTTTTCCGAACTGGCTTTGTCAAAACAAAAAAACCTTTTAAAACATCCATTTCTATCCTTCCAGAATCCTGGTTATGCTGGACGCAAAGAATTGCCGGAAAACTTGAAAATACAATTTCGCACAGTGGCCATGATGGTGCCGGATCGTCAGATTATTATTAGAGTGAAATTGGCTTCTTGTGGATTTTTGGAGAACATAACATTGGCACGGAAATTCTACACCCTCTACAAACTATGTGAAGAGCAGTTGACCAAACAGGTTCACTACGATTTTGGTCTAAGGAATATTCTATCGGTGCTAAGGACATTGGGTGCGGCAAAGCGAAGGAACTCAAAGGATAGCGAGAGTACGATTGTGATGCGAGTCTTGCGCGATATGAATTTGTCCAAGTTGATAGATGACGATGAGCCGTTGTTCATATCGCTGGTGTCGGATTTGTTTCCCAATCAGGTAAGTGGGAGGATGAAGGTTGAGGCTTTTGATTTACTTTTTATTTGTGATTGCTTCTTGCAGACCCTCGAGAAAACCAATTACCCTGAATTGGAGGCAGCCATTGCCCAACAAACCGAAGAGGCAAATTTGGTTTACCATCCTCCGTGGGTTCTTAAGCTAATACAACTCTACGAAACCCAAAATGTCCGTCATGGCATTATGACTCTGGGTCCTAGCGGTGCTGGAAAGACCACCTGTATACACACCTTAATGAAGGCCCTCACACAAATGGGAGATGTGCATCGGGAAATGCGTATGAATCCCAAAGCCATAACAGCAGCCCAAATGTTTGGCCGCTTGGATGTGGCAACGAATGATTGGACCGATGGCATTTTCTCTGCCCTGTGGCGTAAGACATTGAAGCTAAAAAGTGGTGAATATGTATGGCTGGTTCTAGATGGACCAGTGGATAGTATTTGGATTGAAAATTTAAATTCCGTGCTCGACGACAACAAAACCCTGACATTGGCCAATGGTGATCGTTTGACCATGGCACCGACTGTCAAAATTATTTTCGAGCCTCATAACATAGATAATGCCTCACCGGCCACAGTGTCCAGGAATGGTATGGTTTATATGAGTTCGTCGGGTTTGGATTCAAGGCCAAGTGGGTTACAACATCTTACTTAAGTTTTATCCAATTCGAAGCATTTTCTTTGTAGTTGTTCAAGCCTGGTTGAAGAATAGGGCACCTGGTGAGAAGACTGTCTTTTGGGATTTGTTCGAACGCACCTTTGTCCAGTTAATCAATTGGGGTACCCAAAATCTCAAGTTACTTATGCCGGTACTGCAATGTAATGTTGTGCGTCAAATGCTTTTGATATTGGAAGGCCTAGTTCCAGTCAAGAAGGAGGATGAACAAGCTGTCAGCTTATGCAGCAAAGACAGTCAAGATGGTGAGTACAATGGGTTAGACCTGCGATTTGTAAATAAGCTTATTAAAATATTTATACACCCAACATCGAGGTGAGATGTTTCGTCGCAGCAGTTGTCCTGGCAAATAAAAATTATGATCAGAATTTAATTTAAAAAATCCGTTTTCAGCCAAACAAAAAATCAAAGAAGTAAAAGAAGAACGCCGCAATTCAATGCAAGATGACGACGAGGGTAACGTACAACGACTTCCTTTCTTCTGTTTTGTTATTCATTTTCAGATATTTTCCGACTCTAATGTAACACCGTTTTCTTTGTGTCTTGTGGTTGCTGTAATTTTGCTTAATCTGTGTATAAACAAACTCAAACTTGTTAACAACTAATTGTAGCACTAAACTAAGTCCTTTTATTAATATTTTCACCTGCATGACCTTGGAAAGACATTTTCAGAAATTGTGGATCACTTTTCAAAAGTTACGCCATATTTTGAGTTATAATGGGAAAATCGATATTTTCGGCCCACTACTTCTGATACTACTCCGTCAAAGGGTCAAAATTTTGACTAAGCATTAGTCTCATAAAGTGCAATATGAAATATATATGTTTATTTTAACATCACACTGAGCTTCACCCCCCTTACATATATGGTGTAAATCTGGAACTTATCTGGATTTAAGGACTATCGTACGTCTATGCTGATATATACATCACGGCACCCGGTTGAGAATTTAACTCCAATGCTCTTCCTGCGATATGTGTATACACCAGACTATATAATTAAATAGAGGCTCACTCAGGTCGGTCCACGTTTTCGGACGATTTAAGACCCATTTTAAAACGGAATTTGTTCAAATTCGGTATAAAGGGATTGTAACGGGTTCCACCTCCTGCGACAGAAAATTGTCGACATAGTTTCACGTTTTGTTATAGCCTCCCATGTTTCGGTACTTTCCAATATTCGGTATTCTTATGATTTTAGTCACGCTTTTAAGGGGAATCGTTTTAAATTTGGTGTGTAGGTTCTGTCTGGAATAGGCTTCGTTAGTTCTTTTATCAATCATAAGGCGGCACTTCAAATATTTGCAGATTTTTTTTTTAACTTGGTATTTAAATTTCGCAATAGATAACAACCACAATATCAACCACCGGTAGCATCGACTAACGGCATTTTTAAGACTTTACCAACCGATTTAACTGGCAAAACTGGAACGGACCCAATATTCAAACCTTATGGTAAGGGCATTAAAAGTTGTTATATTGTTTGCTGATTGACTGGTATAACTGTACTCAGCCGCTGTAATTGTTGTTTAACGTCTTGTATGGGGGTCGGCAAAATTTTAGTATTTTATTAGTGTTTTTTTTTTTCTTTTTTGTTTGCTGGAGCGACCTTAGGTTTTGTAGTCGGACATGTTCACCGCTGTTACCATGGTATGATCAAAGTTAGTTATTTTGATTTTTATACCCTCCACCATAGTATGAAGGGTATATTAAGTTTGGCATTCCGTTTGTAACACATCGAAATATACATTTAGATAAAGCATATATATTCTTGATCAGCATAAAATTCTATGTCGATTTAGCGATATCCGTCCGTCTGTGGAAATCACTCTAACTTCCGAACGAATTGAAGTAGATTGATAAAATTTTACTCAAATGTATATTATGTGTGCAGGACTTTTGGTATTGAAAGTGGGCCATATATGTTCACGTTTTGGTATAGCCTAAATATAACGGTACCACCTGATATTCGGTATTTTGTTGATTTTAGCGACATTATTCACCGGAATTGTTTCAAATTTGGTATTTGATGTTCGAAATGGATACTACAGCCTAAGACAGAAAATTGTCTGTGCAGGTCCAAGACTTCGTATAGCCCTCATATAACGGTACCTCCCGATATTCGGTATTTAGATGATTTTAGCTACATTATTCACCGGAATTGTTTCAAATTTGGTATTTGATGTTCTTAATGCATACCACAGCCTAAGATACAAAATTGTCTGTACAGGTACACGTCTTCGTATAGCCCCCATATAGCGGTACCTCCCGATACATGGTATTTTGATGATTTTACCTACATTTTGATTTTACCTACATTTCACCGATTTTTTTTTTTTTTTTTTTTTTTTTTTTTTTTTTTTTTTTTTTTTTTTTTTTCGATCGTTCCCATCGCCACACTTTCCCGCCCCTGCCGACCGAGGGGGCCACCTCCCCATAACGAAGGGAGCGCGTACACCCTATAGTCCGAAATATAGGGGGTTAGTAGGCTAGGGGAAACCGGCTACAGTAATTATCAGCCGGCTAAACAATAAAGTACATTAATATACACAATACAGACATATAGACTACAACAAAACTAAAATCCAATTAATTATTTCTGGCAACTGTTTCTACATTTTAAGAACACAAGATAGATTTTTTTATAACATGCAAGGGTTCAGATAAAGACATTATATTGTATAGTTTGTTATATTCATCACATAAAGACCGCAGAGGATTACATAGTTCGTAATTAGATTTTGCTATTGTCAATTTAAGAGGCAAGTAGTTTCGCGTGCTACGCGAAGGGACATTAAAGTTTATTTCGCTTAAGAGAAATTCAGATTGAATTTGCCCGCGCAAGAGTTTTATTATGAAAATGCATCTTAGCATTTGACGCCTTTTGTGAAGTGACGGAAGATCTATAAGTTTTAAGCGATTTTCATAAGGTGGAAGAGCTTCATTCGAATTCCATCCTAAGCCTCTAAGAGCAAACAGAAGAAATTGAATCTGTACAGATTCTATCTTGTCAGAATATAATTTATAGAAGGGACTCCAAAGTACACAACCATACTCCAAAGTTGGTCGAACAAGACTAATGAATAAACGTTTAGTAACATAAGGATCATCAAATTCTTTAGACCAACGTTTTATAAATCCAAGCAACGACTTGGCTTTATTAACACAAGAATCTATATGTAAATTGAAGCTAAGTTTTCTATCCAGAATTACACCCAGATCTACAAAGGAGTCTACATTATCCAATTTATATGAGCCAATAAAATAGTCACTTTTAACAGGCTGGGATCTATAGAAAGATAGCTTTTTACACTTTTTTAAATTTAATGACATCCCATTTTCACTACACCAATTCACAAGACAATTTAAATCGCATTGAAGATTATTTAATTGGTTATAAGACTCGAGATTAGAATATAATTTAACATCATCAGCAAACATCAAAATTTTAGAGCGACGAATAACAGATGGAAGGTCATTTAAGTAAAGTACGAAAAGTAGTGGACCTAAATGACTACCTTGAGGAACTCCTGAGTTTACATTTATATTATTAGAAAGAATATCTTTAAATGATACTTTTTGGGTACGTTTCTGTAAATATGTCAATATCCATGATAAGAGTATTGTAGGAAACCCCATGGAATCAAGTTTATAAATTAATAATTCATGTGCAACGGTATCAAATGCTTTACTGAAATCTGTATAAATAACATCAGTTTGACACTTGTTTGAAAAACCATTGTGCACTTGACAAGTAAGTTCTAATAAATTCGTCAAAGTAGATCTAGCTCTAACAAAACCATGTTGTTGAGGTGATATTACAGGTGAGACAAAATGAGTTATTCTACGTGTGACCAAAAGCTCAAAAAGTTTGGGAATAGCACTTAGTTTTGCTATGCCTCTATAATTTTCAATAACACATCTACTATTGGATTTATGTAAAGGAATAATATAACTAGAACGCCAAAATAGAGGAAAGTAACCTAATGTCAATGAGTCATTAAAAATTGTCGTTAGTGGTCTATAAAGTTCATGAGCACATGAGATTAAAATAGATGTTGGTACACCATCAGGACCTGGTGAGTTAGAATATTTCAATGATAATAAACCGTTTAATACGTCAGTCTCCGTGAATGTGATACGAGGGAACTGATTTAGCTTATTAACATTATAAGGGTAAGTAGTAAAATTTGAGGTAAATTTAGAGTAGGTATTCTGAAAGAATTCTGCAAACATATTTGCGATTTCTTTAGGGTCACATGATTCTTTACTCCCGAGCTTCATGTTTCTAGGATATTCCCGGACTTTTCTCTTTGAATTCACGAATTTGTAAAAATATTTTGGATTTCGGTTTAAGTTAACTCTCACTCTTATTAGATAATTAGAATAACATTTAGTATTTTGAATGTTGTAGATATTTCTGGCTATAGTGTAATTACTAAAGTTTATCGTTGTACAGCATTTTTTAAATTTTTTAAATAGTCTACTTTTTACATTTCGCAACCGTCTCAGATGTGGGGTAAACCAAGGTGGGCCCATATCTGAGCACAAGATTTGGACAGGAACTGAGACTTTAAATGCATCATTAAGTTTATTATAGAAACACGAGACTCGAGAATCAATGTTACCTTCACAGACCCAATTAATATTGGATAATGTAGTACGTAGCTGATCCACATTTGTCTTACTAAAGTTAAACTTTCGTGTTTTAGAAGACGATAATGTCTTAATCATAGGAATATTTTTTAGTTCAAGGTTTATCGATAGAGTAGGGTGATACAAGTCTTCAGGCTCGGAGAAAGGAGAAATTCTACATACGGAAGAGTTTGTAGTCGATGAAAACACTAAGTCCAAGAGTTTACCTCTCGCATTATAGATGTTATTTATTTGATACAGACATTGATCAGAAATGTTTTCCCAGAACTGTAACATATCAGAGGATAATTCTGAGGATGAAATGGGTACATAATCAACATTGTTATCACCTGGGACCCAAGTTAAACTGGGCAAATTAAAATCACCAAAGCAAATCAATTCTGAATTTAAAGGCCGACACGTTGAAACTTCTTTTATTAGGTCTGAATGTTTAAGATAAATATCTACATTTGAATTTGGAGCAATATAAGAGCACGTAAGAATAAACGTATTATTTAAATAATTTAGCTTAACACAAACAAATTCTATATTAGGACATTCTGTAAGCAAAATGCGCTCCGAGGCAATAGAATTGTGGACGGCAATGAATACTCCTCCACCAACTTTATTCAATCTGTCTTTCCGGTAAATTTGGTACTGATCAGACAAAATCTCAGTGTCACGTATGCCTGGTTTAAGCCAAGTTTCCGTGAAAACGAGAATTTTGAAATCACAGCAAAAGGATTTTAAATAAATATTTTTCAGTTTAGAATTAAGGCCCCTTACATTTTGGTAAAGAATAGATAGAGAATTGATTAGTTTTTTGAGACCGGCACACTTGAAGGGATCTTGACAGGTTTATTAGCATTAGTTTTCTCTCTAAACACAAATTCCTTTACAAGAACACCATCTGGCCAAAAAGATCTATTTAACAATGTATCAAACATATCATGAGGCACGATTATTTTGAACGATGATATATCTCGTGGTAATGACGAATTAAATTTAATAATTCTACAGTCATTATCACCCAGGTTTTGCACTTTAGATTTTAAGTAATTAGATATGTTATTTATAGTTGTATTGGAATGTAATCTAGATATAAAAATACTTTTCCTGGGAGCAACTACAACTAGTTCATTACTACTCCCAGATTGACAAGGACCAATTACAGTTTTTGCGGATGAATTAGGAGCTGAAGCATCAACATTTGAAATAGGATTAACAACTATTGATGGTACAGTCGGACTTAGAGGACCTAAGGGCATTATGGGTACGGATTCAGAAGATGGAGTTTCAATCGTTGAGAATTCATTAAGACTTGAAACTTGACTTGAAACGATTGGCAAAGGTGAACACAGCGCCGGTGGCGCCAAATGGCTTTCCGATGGTAAAGACTCAGCAGCATTGCGTGGCGGAGCCACAACTGGTGTGTTTAGGGATATTAAATTAACACCGGAAGCAATAGCTGAGAATTTTTTACGTTTCGGTGAACCATCTGCGTATTCAAATTTTATAAACATTTTTTCAAAATTTTCGAGTTTGGAAGTAACGACACTAAACTCTTTCTTCATGGCAGCTAATTCAATTTTAGATTCCTTGAATAGACGATAAAAATCTACTTCAAGGGACCTACAATTGTCACATGACCAGCGAAGCCCATATTTGCGATCAGTTATGATATCAAAATGCTTACCATTAAAACCTAAGCATTTCAAATGTTCATGCTTCTCGCACAGCCAACAAGTCAACAAGCGTTCTTTTAGACTTGTAATTTTGCAGTCTTTATTTAAACATTCCATTATCAAAGAATAATTTTTTTTAATATATATATATTTTTTTTGAAGGGTTATATAAGGGTTAAAATTTTTTGTGGGTTAAAGAGTTAGTAAGGCTTAAATAGTTACCGCCTGAAAGTATGCTCTGAAATCTGAAAACTAGTAAATATAAGAACAAGTAAACACAGAACGATAAGATGACAAACGTCAAAATGATGAACAAAACAAAATAATCACTGAAAGCGAACTCAGACAGACACAAAATTAAAATCAATATTCTGTAAAAACTAGCGCGTTTTACAACAGACTATCACAAACCACTTAACTGGCAAAATTAGATTTAACAAATTTTTAGAAACTTCACCGGGAAAAATCACAATTAACACAAAATATATTAAAATTATTTTAACACTTTGTTAGACACAAAAATAGCACGACTAGACACTTCAAGAGTTGCCAGGTATTTTAAGTTTCGCATTTGAATATTGTAATGACTAATGACTAATATACCAGCTACATTACATCTTTTTTACTTAATGATTTTTATAAGAAGGACTAATTAGGTCATTGTTGGCTTTTGGTAATGCAGATGGTATGTAGTTATGATTACTATGAAAATTGAAAGTGCCACATACGAAATTTTTGCTTAGATTTTGATATTGGGCAATGGAAACTATACATTGACTTGAGTACTAATTTCCTACTGAAGCGTGTGGCCCTTATAATGCTTTGTATGAGAAAGGTCTTGTCCTAACCGATTTATGTCGATGCCGAATGTATCGTTTCTATTATCCAATACTAAACATTTGGAGGGACAGGTTACCTTATAGATGTTTTTTGGTAGAACAGTTGTAGGGAGTTCCCGAAATAAGTATTCCGTGGTAGTGGGCCATTCGACTTCTAAATGTTGCTGATTGTTATTTTAGCATAATTGTGTGTGAGTATTATGCTGAGATGTCCCTTTCAGCTGTAGAGCATGTTAGTGTTATGTTTTTGTTGTAAGTGCCATTCGCTGCCTATGTAATCGGTACAACATGAAATCCAGATGGTTTTTTTTACTGGGGATGCCAAGCAGGCTTCTTGAGATCTATTAGTCTAGCATGGCAGTTGGTCCCTCGTGGTGCCTCGTATATTAATAAAAGAGTAAAAGAATTGATTGAGGGGGTCAGATAAGGCAGGGTTTTTGGAAATTCGTACTAAAACGCTACGAAAATGACTAAAAGGTGTTATATATGGTATTTGGCGAGCCAGTAGAGCTAGAGATCTTAAATTTGGAATAAGGGACACTTATGAAATGTATGATGAATGCACCAAAGAGTTTTTGGAAATTCGCCTATAAGTGTACGAAAAACACAAAAATGTACTATATTTAGTACCATTTCGTATCATGGTAAAAACTTGATATTAAAATTTGGAATGTGCATGAAGGTTGAGGAGTAGGGGTCATGAAAGCAGGTAGTTTTGGATATGTCTGGTCGTGTATACAAAAAGTTCTAAATGGTACTAAATTTGGTACAATTCGAAGTTGGAGGAACTGATGTAGGTGGAATCCTAGAATTTGAATTTATCCTTACTGGAGGAGAGTAGGATTGAGATATAGAGGTCGTTTTCGAAATATATACTTACGTTCACGAAAATTTGGTACAGTTTCGATTTGGGTAAACCAATAGACCTGGAATGCGGAAATTCGGAAATAAGATTATTATTATTGTTGTAGGACTGAGGTATGTGTACTAAATGGTACTATATTTGATACAATTTAAATTTAGGGAGAACCGATAGAGTTGGAATCCTGAAACATGGACAAATTCTATTGAATTCTATTATGAAATAGTAGTTATGTGTACTAAATTTGGAATAGTTTGAATTTGGGTGAACAAATAGAGCTGTGTCCCGAAATTTGGAAATAAAATTAATGTCGGAGTGTGGGATTGGGATATGGAGGTAGTTTTAAATATTTGTACTTATATATACTAAATTTGACATTTGACAATTTGGATTTGGGTGAACCGACAGGGCTGGAATACCAAAATTTGCATATAAGATTTCTATCAGATTGTATGATGCAGGTTGTTATGGAAATTTGTACTTATGTGTACTAAATTTGGCACAAATAGGGATTGTATTGAACCAATAGAGCTGGAAAAGTACAAAATAGTATTATTTTGGTATTGAGTGAAGGGATAGAGCAGAAAACCTGAAATTTGAAATGGATGTCATGGTTGGTGTCTGTGTTTGAGCGAAAGAGGTGCCGTTGATTGTTGGGATAGAGATGGAATTTTGAAATTTTGTATCGAGACCACTGTTGGTATATAGTTTAAAGAGAAGCAGGTTAATTTATGTTGTGTAGTTATTTGATGAAAAGTTTAAGTTTTTGAAAAGTCTTTCCAAGTAATGCATTTCTATTTTATTTTTTTTAATATATCCACTCGAATCTGTGTCTGTGAAAAAATCTGTCTACTAACTCTACTAAAATGTGATATCGTCTGAAAAAAAAAAACGCTCTCGACTAAAGTGTGTTTTCTATTCGTCTGACAGCCATTTGAACTAATCCCCCATTTGTCTACTTTTCCTCTCCATAGAAGAAGCTGCCGAAGAGCCTGCCGTCGAAGAAAAAGAAGATACCTGTACACCGGAACATTTACATCGCCTCTACATCTTTGCTTTAGCCTGGGGTTTGGGCGCCTATCTGAGTGCATCGGATCGCATCAAAATGAACAACTATGTGAAGCAATCATTTCCCGACTTGGACTATGCCAAGGGCACAGCCAGTGAGAATACCATATTTGATTTCTTTGTATCGCCGGCCGGCACCTGGCAATCCTGGAAGACTCTGGTGACACCCTATATGTATCCGGAAGTTTCCACACCCGATTATTTGAGTATTCTGGTGCCGATTGTCGATAATGTGCGAATGGATTATTTGATTGGAACGATAGCCAATCAGGAGAAGGCCGTAATGCTGATTGGTGAGCAGGGCACGGGCAAGACGGTGATCATGAAGAATTTCATGCGCAAAATGAATGTGGAAACTTATATGGGAAGGTCGTTTAATTTCTCATCGGCCACTAGTCCGTATCAGTTTCAGCGGACAATTGAGAGTTATGTTGAGAAGCGTGTGGGTGTTACATTCGGTCCGCCAGGAGGTCGAAAGTTGATTGTCTTCATCGATGATGTCAATCTGCCGGAAATCAATGAATGGGGTGATCAGGTGACCAATGAAATCGTGAGACAGTCGATGGACATGAAGGGTTTCTATAGCCTGGAGAAGCCGGGTGATTTCACCACAATTGTGGATGTGCAATATGTGGCGGCGATGGGTTTACCCGGAGGAGGTCGAAACGATATACCTTCACGTTTGAAGCGCCAGTTTTGTGTCTTCAATTGTAATATTCCAGATAATGATTCAATTGACAAGATATTCCGGGTAATTGGCGAGGGCCATTACAATACGAAGCGTTGCTTTATACCCGAAGTCCGAAATTTGGTGAAGAAATTGATTGTCGTCACGAGATATCTGTGGCAGAGGACACGCGAAAAGCTGCTGCCAACGCCGGCAAAATTTCACTATGTCTTCAGTTTGCGTGACCTGTCGCGTATCTGGCAGGGCATGGTGGGCACCCTGCCCACGGTCATCACCTCAGAGAGTGTTCTCATGTCGCTGTGGAAACATGAATGTATTCGTGTATTTGCCGATCGTTTCACCAACATTCCCGACAAGGAGTGGTTCGGCTCGGAATTGGCTTGTCTGGTGCGCTCGGAATTAGGCGAAAATTATGTGCAGATGATCGTGCCGAATCCGGTGTTCGTGGACTTTATGCGTGATGCACCCGAACCTACAGGCGAAGAGGGCGAAGATGCCGACATGGAATTGCCCAAAGTCTACGAGCCGGTTACCTCTCATGAAGTGCTCCGCGAGCGTCTGGTTATGTTCCTTGCTCAGTTCAATGAAATGGTGCGAGGTTCTGGGATGGACTTGGTCTTCTTTCCGGATGCAATGCTGCATTTGGTAAAGATTTCCCGCATAATACGGCATCCGCGCGGCAATGTCATGCTGGTCGGGGTGGGTGGCTCCGGCAAACAATCGCTCACGAAATTGGCCTCGTTTATAGCCGGCTATAAGACGTTCCAAATTGCCCTGACGCGTTCCTATAATGTGGCTAACTTTTTGGAGGACCTCAAGTTACTGTATCGCACGTGTGGTGTTCAGGGTAAGGGCACCACCTTCCTCTTCACCGACATGGATATTAAGGAGGAGGGTTTCCTGGAGTATTTAAACAACATTTTGTCGTCGGGTGTGATTTCGAATCTCTTTTCGCGCGACGAACAGGCGGAAATCGTCCAGGAACTCACACCCATCATGAAACGCGAGAATCAACGCAAGACCGCCACCCCGGAAAGTGTGATGGAGTTCTTTTTGGCCCGAACGTGTGCCAATCTGCATGTGGCCTTTTGTTTCTCGCCCGTGGGCGAGACCTTCCGTTCGAGAGTGCAACGTTTCCCCGCTCTCGTCTCGGGCTGCACCATCGATTGGTTCCAACCGTGGCCAAAGGATGCCCTTGTCTCCGTGTCACGACACTTTCTGAGTGACTTTGAGATAGAGTGTACACCGGAAGTGAAGGAGGAGTTGGTGAATGCTTTGGGCTCAATACAGGATGTAGTGTCGGAAACATCGCAGGAGTATTTCCAGCGTTTTAGGAGGGCAACGCATGTTACTCCCAAGTCATACTTAAATTTCATAGCAGGCTACAAGAACATCTATCAGCAGAAGCAAAAGGAACTGGGTGATGGAGTGGAGAAAATGGACACGGGGTTGGAAAAGCTGAAGGAGGCCTCTGCCTCAGTGGAAATATTGAAAAAAGATTTAGTGGTTATGGAGGAGGAATTGGTGGAGGCCTCCAAGAAAGCCGAATCGGTATTGGTGGAGGTAACCGAAAGAGCCATGCAGGCGGAAATAGTTAAAAATCAGGTGCTGATTGTCAAGGATAAAGCTGAGGCCCTGGTGGCCTGTATTGCCGAGGAAAAGGCCTTGGCCGAGGAGAAATTGGAGGCAGCCAAACCGGCCCTGGAGGAGGCTGAAATGGCTTTGAATACCATAAAACCGGCTCATATTGCCACGGTGCGGAAGTTGGGTCGTCCCCCTCACCTTATTATGCGTATCATGGACTGTGTCCTGATTCTGTTCAAACGGAAACTGCATCCTTGCATTCCTGACTCGGGGACACCATGTCCCAAGCCATCTTGGCAGGAATCTCTTAAGGTTTGTTGCAAACACAAACGCACACATTTTTAGGAATCTTACCATTTTCTATTTCTATCGCCCACAATCAGATGATGGCCAGTGCCACATTCCTGCTGCAATTACAAAACTATCCCAAGGATACCATAAATGATGAAATGATTGATTTATTACAACCATATTTCCGCATGGAAGACTACAACATGGATATGGCACGTCGGGTGTGTGGCGATGTTGCCGGTCTCCTGTCCTGGACGAAAGCTATGGGCTTCTTTCACAGTGTCAACAAAGAAGTTTTACCTTTAAAGGCTAATTTAACATTGCAGGAGGCAAGATTGAAGGTAAGTAAGGGTGGGAGTGTGGAATAAGCAAATGAGTTTTGTCTGGGTTTCATGTATCTTTGATTGAAAATATCAAAATATGATGAATGCATGTTCGGGTGGGTTGTGTCTGCTATGTACGTATGTGGTTTTTGAAGTTATCACAGGATGGAAGCCATATCGATTTGTAGAAGCTAGGAATGATTGACTTTTTTTTTGAAATATTATTGATTGGAAACAATGTCAAGGAATAGCAACAATAGAAATTGTCCGTAACTGTTTCTAGTGTAAATATTTGAAGAGGTATATTATTTTGAGGAATTTTGCTCAAAATGAAGCAGTTAATTATGAACTGTTTGTCTACGGGATCTGAATAGAAGTATTTTTAAAGTTTAAAACTTGAACTTTTACTAGTTGTTAGTATTAAAGGGGTCTAATCGGACTATCTGCACCAGACTTAATTTAGCTGATGATAATTCATTTTAAAACATGTTTTCTATTGTTCGTTATGTTCTCTTTCGAGTTGAGCCAAGGAAACTGCATTGGAATCTAGTGAAGTCCTACCCATCATCCATTGTAAAATGGTAGACGTTTTTCCTTTATGGGAGAAACATGGACCTATTCAGGCAATCTACTGCCACAGAAGGCAGAGCCTATTACAAACTCTACACACCGAATTTACACGATTCCGCTAAAAATGGGCTAAGACTGCCAGAATTCCGAATGTCGAGAAATAGCGTGAATACAACATACAGATGGATATTGCCAAATCATCTTAGAATTTTACGCTGATTAATGCATGATTATTTCGAGGAGTAGCAAACGGAATGACAAACATAATTTACACTCCATACTATGTTAGGTGGAGGTATAAAATACCACCCCAGTACCATGTGGAGAATATTGTCCTGAAAAATCAAATAAGTAAAATATATCTAATATTTTTTTTATTTTTTTCTTGTTTGTTTTCTGCGTCGAATTTATTGAAGGAACATATAATTTGAAAACGATCATGCATTACCCTAATATGGTCCAATATTGACGGTTATATTCTATTCTAATAGAAATCAGCAAAGAAAGGTCAAAAGTCAAGAGGGGCCGCTTTTATGATATAACATTTATATTGAGAATTTATGTGAAGGAGATCATACCAGCTATGAACCTTTCTCTGAATGCGTATTATGATTATACAGACGTTGCAATTTGATATCAGAAGAAACTAATTTATGGAAGATACTTGCTTGTAGGAGGACTTCGGTCGGATGTGCCGAAATACATCCTATTTGTACGAATATCACACATATGTCGCACAATAAAACAAATTAAATCGAATCAGTCAGCATTGCCGACAGCTGCATACCCAATGTCGGGTTATTAAAATATTTTTCGACTTATGATTATTCAAACTGTTGACCCTACATAGAAGTGGTTCTGAAGGAGTGGGCCAATATTGTAAGTATTGATAATTGTTAACCTTTGTGGGAGACATACCAGAAGGAGTGGGCCGATATGTAGAATCTTTATACAATATCGTGTGCTGAAAGAGATATTTGGATGTGTGAAATTTGAAGAAAATCAGATATTAATGTCGCATTTCCCCAATTCTTCCCAATTCTTAGGGAACGACTCCATACCAGACCTTAAAGAATGTTAATGAATTTCATCAAGGCAACTGAATTTCAAATATATCAGACTGTAAGCTGCCCGTCTTATTTCAAAAACCCTTAGTCTAGAGCGCACAACAGGCCTATAGTGTGTATGTCCAACAGGGTATGCGGCGAATTGTTTCGCCCCTCTTTTCAACCTAACCTAACTTATGTCGCGTTTTATGAGAGTTATAATGTGGGGGAGGTACCAGAAGGAGTAGTCCAATATTGTTGATCTTCATAACAGATCTTGTGTTGATAGTAGTGGGATATGCGGAGTCTGGCAGCAATCGGATGCTCATTTCGCGTTTTTTGAGTTTAATGGTTATTCTAAGAATTGACCCCTTGTAGGGGGAGGTGGGGGGTACTAGAAGGAGTGGCCCGTTCATATTATATAAGAGTTATATTTATTCAAAATGTTTACCCTTTGTTGGGTAGGTAACAGAAGGAGTGGTCATATATTTACCATCTTCACACTAGATCTAGCGTAAGTAGAAATATTGGGATGTGTGAAATTTGAACAAATCTGACGCTCATTTCGTGTTTAATGAGCTGCAGGGCTATTTCTAATTTTTACCTGTCGTGGGGGAGGTACCAGAAGATGTGGACCGATTAAGCTCATCTTCACACCAGATCTTTTGCTGGTAAAAATATTAAAATGTATGTAAATTGAACACAATCGGAATCTTCATACCCTACAACACTATGTATTGGAGGTATTATAATTTTGATTGGGCCAAAATTTATGCAACACCTCGAAATATTGGTTTCCCACATAGCAAAGTATATATGGATCTTCCTATCTCGCCGAGCTGAGTCGATTTAGCTAAGTGTGTCCGTCCGTCTGTGCGACTGTCCATGTTAATTTGTAATCATGCTACAGGCCGCAATTCTGGCCCGATCATCACGAAATAGGAAATGAAAGTGGGGTTAGGGTCAGAATAGAAGCCTATTGGACCAAAAACTGAAATTTTTCCTCATTTTGCAGTTGCTTTACATGTCACAATTATAGACCAATCGAGGCGGAAGTTAGAATGGGGCTAGAGCTTAGGGCTGGACAGAAGCCTTTCAATCTGGATGGTCATCGGGTAATAGTCAGTGGTGGAATAGATTTAATGTGTTAAATAAAAGTCAAATTTTCCATTAAACCGTGAATATCTTTAATCCTGGCGAAAATAAAAATAGACGAAAAGGTAAATTCTGACTGTTACATAGATGCCTCTTGGCATAAAAGAATACAATTTAAAAAAAAAATCGCAAAAAAATATGCCAATATGGTGATGGTTATATAGATTTTGCAATTTTTTATTTTTTTTTTTCAAATTTTTTATCGCATGCGATTTTTTCAATTTGACTTATAACATTGAAGTGTACATTTTGTAATATTTTTTCACCTTACAACACATGTTGGGGTTATTATATGCAGATTGCAATTATCGTCCGATCCTCTGGAAAATTTTCATAAGGGTTGGGTTAGGCTGATGTCCGCATTTGGAGATAATCGCAAAATATTTAGAGGTTCAAATGAACAAAAAACAGAAAAATTTTCGTGATCTCACATTTGAAACCAATCGACACGGTATTTTTCAGGAGAAGAAAGTTAAGGACAGCGAAGAAGTCTATTGGATTATATTTAGCTGTAAAATGGAACACAACAACTAATAACATGACGGAGTGCGTAAATATTAGGCAAATGTCCCTGGCCCGAAAGCTTAGGGTAATATGTGGGCACTGCTGTATGACATATTTTCAAAAGCGAAATCTTCCAAAAATGAATTTGGACATAAGGGGGCTTCTAACATATTGTAGTGTTGTAGGGTATCACATGGTCGGCCCGGCACGGCTATAGTCTTTGTTTACTTGTTTTTATTTCTTTATATTATTCAAAATGTTGACTCTTTGTGTGGAGGTACTTGATTTTCGCACCGAAATTAGAACTATTCAAAATATAAGGATTTGCGAAATTTGAACAAAATTGGATAATCCTTTCTTATTCTATGAGATAAATTATTTTCTATGAGAATGTTGAACTTTTGTGGCGGAGGTACCGGGAGTCGACCGAAATTGCGCATCTCCGAATTAGGTCTAAATTAGAAAATAATACCCATACACAGTTTATACAAAATCGGTGCTCCCTTCAAGAGTTATCGTGCGCACCAGCCAGACAGACGGACAAACACCCCAAGATTAACTGCATATATCCTGAAATGGTTTTGGTCCAAAGAGACCAAGGGTCTATAACCGTTATTTCGATGAGGAGCATTTTGGACGAATCAATTTATATATACCCTGTATTGTACTGTAGCCATATGGCTGAGGGTATAAAAATCGATTAGAGCTATGAAATGCATGGTCATTCTTCGTTGAGAAATGGCTGGATTTTTAAAACATCGCTTTTTAAGTGTGCAAACAGTGTTAAAGGGTGGAAAATTTTAATTGAAACATGGAGATTTTCAGTACACATTGAGATGTGACATGTTCTAAAAATTAATTAAAGAGGTAAATGAATTGGGAAGTGTTTTATCGGTAAAAGTCTTTTTTTATAACCTCCACCATAGTATGGAGGGTATATTAAGTTTGTCATTCCGTTTGTAACACCACAAAGTATATATATTCTTGATCAGCATAAAATTCTATGTCGATTTAGCGATGTCCGTCCGTCTATCCGTCTGTCTGTCTGTCTGTGGAAATAACTCTAGCTTCCGTGCGAATTGAAATAGATTGATAAAATTTTACTCAAATGTATGTTATGTCTGCAGGCCTTTTGGTAATGGGCCATGTAGGTCCACGTTTTGGTATAGCCATATAACAGTACCTCCCGATATTTGGTATTTTGATGATTTTAGCGAATTTATTCACCGGAATTGTTTCAAATTTGGCATTTTAAGTTCGTAATGGATATTACAGCCTAAGATGGAAAATTGTCTGTGCAGGTCCACGTCTTCGTATAGCCCCCATATAACGGTACCTCCCGATATTCGGTATTTTGATGATTTTAGTGACACTATTAACCGGAATCGTTTCAAATTTGGTATTTGAAGTTCGAAAGGGATACTACAGACAGAAAATTGTCTATGCAGGTCCACGTCTTTGTATAGCTCCCATATAACGGTACCTCCCGATATTCGGTATTTTAATGATTATAGGGACATTTTTCACCGAAATTGTTTCAAATCTGGTATTTGAAGTCCTTAATGGATTCTATAGCCTAAGATAGAAAATTGTCTACGCAGATCCACGTCTTCGTGTAGCCCCCATATAACGGTACCTCCCGATATTCGGTATTTTAATGATTATAGAGACATTTTTTACCGGAATTGTTTCAAATTTGTTATTTGAAGTTCGTAATGGATACAATACATTATATAACCCCCATGGTAACTCCCTCTATTCTTTATTTTGATGATTTTAGCTACATTATAAAAAGTTTTTTTTTTCAAGTTTCGCATTTGAATATTGTAATAGTGACAAAAGTTGCCTATGCAGGTCCACGTCGTGGTATAGACCCTAATAAACGGCTACATTCGGTATTTTTAAGACTTTAAAAGGATTTTTAACGAATTTTATTTTTTGGAAAATTGCCAAATTTATAACAAATGGTGGAGGGTATACAAAGTTCGGACCGGTCGTACTTACAGCTTTTTTACTTGTTATAATTGTCAATTTCGAGTTCACACATATTTTATCATAACAGTTTTCAAAATAAAACAAACCGTATTCTTTACTTTTCATTTCCTAACCAGCTTGCCATGGATGACTTAGCCGCTGCCGAAGATCAACTGCGTGAACGCGAAGAAGCTCTGCAGGCTGTAAAGAATTTATACGATAATGCTGTGGGCGAAAAGCAACGTCTGACGGACGCGGCCAATGCATGTCTACGCAAAATGACAGCAGCCACGGCACTGATCAATGGTCTGTCGGATGAGAAAATACGTTGGACCAATCAATCGAAAGAATTTAAAATACAATTGGGAAAATTGGTGGGAGATGTTCTACTAGCAACTGGGTTCTTGTCATATTGTGGTCCCTATAATCAAGAATTTCGAGCAAATCTCATACGAACTTGGATGAGTATTTTGAAGCAGAAGACAATCCCCTTTACGACGGGTTTGAATATTATCAGCATGTTGGTTGATTCTTCCACGGTGTCGGAATGGAATCTGCAAGGCCTGCCCAATGATGAATTGTCGGTGCAAAATGCTTTGATAGCCACCAAGTCCAGTAGTTATCCAATGCTAATTGATCCCCAGGCCCAGGGTAAAATATGGATCAAATCTAAAGAGGAACAACATGAGCTGCAAATAACTTCGTTGAATCACAAATATTTTCGTACCCATTTGGAGGATGCCTTGTCTTTGGGTCGTCCGCTGCTAATTGAAGATGTGGGTATTGAATTGGATCCCGTGCTGGATAATGTGTTGGAGAAAAACTTTATAAAATCGGGTAGTATTGAAAAAGTGTTGGTGGGCGACAAGGAATGCGATGTCATGCCGGGCTTTATGCTGTACATTACCACAAAATTACCAAATCCGGCTTTTAGTCCTGAAGTAAGCGCCAAGACATCGATTATTGATTTCACGGTTACAATGCGTGGTCTGGAGGATCAGCTGTTGGGTAGAGTGATTCTAATGGAGAAATCTGATTTGGAGGCGGAACGTGTCTCCCTCTTCGAAACGGTTATGCAAAATCAACGGAATATGAAGGAATTGGAGGCAAATCTCTTGTATCGCTTGAGCTCCTCTCAGGGTTCCTTGGTGGATGATGAAGACCTAATTGAGGTTTTGCGTGTAACCAAAACCACGGCGGAGGAAGTTAATGAAAAATTAAAAATTGCCGAGGTCACGGAACGTAAAATTATGAAGGCACGTGAGGAGTTCCGTGCTGTGGCTGCCCGTGGTTCTATTCTGTATTTCCTGATTGTCGAAATGAGCAATGTCAATGTCATGTACCAGAACTCGTTGAAACAATTTTTGGTCATCTTCAACAATTCGATTACCAAATCGACCAAGTCGAATGTTACGGAGGAGCGTATAAATATTATTTTGCGCTATTTGACGTATGAGGTTTACAAGTTTACCAATCGCAGTCTCTACGAGCGCCATAAGCAGCTGTTCACTCTGATGTTGGCAATAAAAATCGACTATCACAATGGCAATATAAGCCATGAGGAATTCATGGCCTTTATCAAGGGAGGTGCTTCGCTGGATCTGAATGCTGTACAACCGAAACCTTTCCGCTGGATATTGGATATAACATGGTTGAATTTGGTGGAGATCAGTAAACTGGATACATTTGTAAATGTTTTGGAATTGGTAAGTTTATTTTTTGCTTATGTTTAGTGAGAATATATGTGGTATCTATAGGCAAAATTGAACGTTCGTCTTCACTACCGCAAGGTAGGCAGCATTCAGCCCCTTCCCTGCAAACTGTGGGAGTTAAATGAACCTAATAACCCATTACATAGTAATATAATCAAACTACCTTTTGTATTACTACTAGACAAAAAATAGTTTTAATTACCCTCAATGTTCATCTGTGTACCTCAGAGCTCTGAATCGGACGCTCGAATTCGAGTAAAGAATGAAACTGGCTCTAATTCGAGCAGAAGTGCCTCTGCGTATAAAAAAATTATCGTGTATACTTTTTTACAATGCCATTTTCGAGTTTAAGTAAAATTCGCTCAAAATTGAGCAGATTCTATTCTTTCCGAGAACTAATTTAGTTTGTGTCAACGACAGATGCAAACGATGTAACGTGGTTTTCTCGTCGTCGAGGGTATGCCCAGTCGCAGCCATATTTAAGGACCCGCAAACCATATGAAATAACGAGAACAGAATTCTTCTTTTCCGATGGGTTAAAATTGGGTGTTTTATAGATTTAAATACTAAATTACAATCTACTCATTTTAAAATGCGATAATTTGGACCAAAAAGGTATGTGGACGAATAGATTCGAAGTTTCTCAGGAGTGCTGTATATGTAGCTGCCGAGGTGCAATTGATGATCGAGATTTCGATGTTTACGACGATTGGGAATACTAGCGTTGAGTTTCACTTTCTTGACGATTTTTTAGATAACCGGGAATAATAAGGTGGATATGTTGGATTGTTGACGATGATGTAATCTGGCATCCCAATACAACACTATGTAACACCTCGAAAATTGCTCCTCGACATAGGAAGATATACAGGGTGAGATAAAAAAATGCAACAAAGTCAAACGCCATAATTTTTACATTTTTTTTTAAATATTATTGAATGAAAGCAAAATATGTCGGAAATAGCATCAAATTTTAGAATAAGTGTAGATTTGTTCGAAATGGTCACCTTTGACACGTATTATGGCCTTCAAACGGCCAATGAAACCGTCACACGCTGTCTGCGGTTTTTTGACCCATTTCCGACGAAGCGCTTGCTTGAGGTGATCGACACTATGGTATTTTTTAGTGCCAACCTTGCTTTCCAAAATACTTCAGACACAATAGTCCAAAGGATTGGTATCCCGAGATTTTGGTGGCCATTGTGCGCTTGAAATGAAGCGAGGAACCTCATTTTGTAACCATTCTTGGGTGGCGCGTGCTGAATGCGATGGTGTTGAGTCCTGTTGAAATGCCCAAGGTCTGCGGCAAAATGTTTGCGTGCCCAAGGCTTTAATACACCCTCCAGAATATTTTCGCGACAATATTCGGGATTTATTTTAATGCCACGGTCGATTAATACGAGCGGAGAGCGACAATCGGCTGTTATGGCGGTCCACACCATCACCATGGCCGGCGCTTGAGTTCTGATATCCAGCCGAAGCTGCACATTTTCAGCTGACATCTTTGGGAGAAAACCAAATTCGGCAGTTCACCACTTTCGGAGTTCACCAAGCGGAGCAACTCTTTAGCTCTTTTGAGTCTATTTTCTTTCTGTTGCGGTGTAAGTTCTTGCACTTCTTGGAATTTAAATGGGTTTACCCCGAACTCATTTTTCAAAATGTTCCGAATGGAATATTGCGATATGTTCAGCTCACGAACCATTTTTTGGTCACTGCGACGCGGGTTTCGATCAAGTTGAAGCAACTTACTTTTCGAACCATTTCTGCTGATGTTGCTGTTTTCTTCCGTCCACTTTCTTGACTTCGAGCTACGCTACCAGTATCACGGTAACGAGCGATGGTTCGAGGCACTATGACGCTTCAATTCCATCACGAGTAACTTTTTTTTCTGGAAAATTCTCACCAAAATGCTTTTGTATGCTTGTAAAGAATATAATGAGTTGTCACTGGAATAATTTTAACAGCTGTCGTAGGAGTGGCTTAGAAATGACAGCAGTTGGAAGTTGGTTGCAGTTTTTTCATCTCACAATAAGTCAACTTCGGCTATTAAAATTGGCTATCGGAACGCCTACTTAACATTACTCTGGTCATTGATTTATTAAAATGAATATTATATATATTTATTTGCAGATCGAATTAAACGAACGTGAATGGCGTATCTGGTACGAATCGGAAAAACCGGAAAACGAGGAAATTCCGTGTGGTTATCAGTCATCATTGGATAGTTTTCGTAAACTTTTGCTAATTAGGTCTTGGTGTCCAGATCGTACCATTTCACAAGCTAAGAAATATATTGAAGGTAAGAATTACTTAAAAATACTTGGAATAAATTTTAGATAAATTATATTCTTTACAGAATCATTGGGTCCGGAATACAGTGAAATGCAAATATTAGATTTAGAACTGACATGGTCAGAATCTGAACCGAGGACACCATTCGTTTGCCTGTTATCCATTGGGTCAGATCCAACTACACAAATTTCAGCTTTGGCTAAACAGAAGGAGATACGTAAGTACTGAACATTTTTTTCTTATTTCATATTTATAAATAAAAATATTTGAATTCTTCAGCTCTAAAAGCCGTTTCCATGGGCCAAGGCCAAGAATTCCATGCTCGAAAAATGATAATGGACTCAATGGCCGGTGGTGGTTGGGTGCTGCTGCAAAATGTCCACCTCTCGTTGCCATTTTGTACCGAGATAATTGATATGTTGGTGGAGACGGAACATGTGGATGAATCATTTCGTTTGTGGGTTACCACAGAACCACACAATGAATTTCCCATTGGCCTGCTGCAGATGGCCATTAAATTTACCAATGAACCGCCGCAGGGTATAAGGGCAAGTTTGAAGAGAAGTTATCAGGTATGTTCCAAATCTGAAAGGAAAAATTTACAAACCAATTTATTTTGCATTTCATTTTAGTCCTTTACACAAGATTTCCTGGATTACACATCAGCCCCTCAGTGGCCACCACTTTTGTATACCGTGGCCTTTTTGCACACCATCGTCCAGGAACGTCGCAAATTTGGCCCCCTGGGTTGGAACATACCCTACGAGTTTAATGCAGCCGACTTTGCCGCCAGTGTACAATTCGTACAAAATCATCTGGATGAAATGGATCCCAAGAAGGGTGTCTCCTGGCAAACTCTGGTCTACATGATTGGTGAAGTTCAGTACGGGGGTCGTGTTACCGATGACTTTGATAAACGTTTGCTGACCACTTTTACAGCCGTGTGGTTTTGTGAAGCCTTGCTAAATCCATCGTTTGAATTCTATAAAGGCTATAAAGTGCCGAACACCAAAAGCTTGCAAGGATTCATTGATGCCATCAGCAATTTGCCAGCCAACGATACGCCAGAGGTCTTTGGTTTGCATTCCAATGCCGACATCACGTACCAAATCAATTCGGCTAAAGGTGAGTGCCTGGAAGAGAAATTTGGAATGGAGGGTGAACAAAGTAAGGGGAAAGAGCAATGTGGATACATAAACGTCCATTAACGATGATTATCGTTGTGTTTGTTTTGTCTTTGTTCATTGTTTTTTAAGTAGCAATTGAATATTTAGGGATCTTGTTCTGCTAATAGAATTTGCTTTTATTATTAGCTTAATTTAAATTTTTAATGATACAAAAATTGCATTTAAATGTTTTGATTTAATTTGCTTTGTAAAACAAAGCAATTTCACGTTTTGTAATTTGGGTGTTTTGCAATCTTGTTTTCGACAAAATTTTTGAAGTTTTCGGAATTTTTGAAGTCTGACGGAAATTATCAAAAGCTTTGTAAAATATTGTAAAGTGGCGAAAGAGTAAATAGCGTCAGCTTGAACTCAATTATAGATATAATCTCTTACGACCAGATTTGTTCCCTCCACAATTAGTACGCACTCGATGCATCTTTCCGTGTCGAAGTTTACCGAAAGATTTAAGGTTTTTCTATTCAAACTAGAGCATACAAAATGTTGTACTTCTTTTCCTATAGAAATAAATCCGAAAAGTACTTCCTAATCTCATCACTATACATTCACCAAAAAACTAATGGAACAGAATGTAGTCCTTATAGAACATATTTGAAAACTTACTTCCGTTTTAGATCCTATTCAGCAACATATTTTATAATTCGGTCCAAAAAAAGAGGAAAAATGAGAAAAAAATATTTTTCGATCTTCTGCAATTGGTCAAGAATTGATTTTCTAAACAATATCGACTATAGTTGATATAGATTTGAGATTTTGTGATACCATTTAATTAGGTAGTATTCGAGATGATCCAAACTTGGTGCATCATAACATTTTTAGACCGAGTTTGGAGATAAGCAGAACCCGCCCAGTCTCTGGTACCTCCTACAAAAATTCAAATTTGAATAATAAAACTGTGTCCAAATTGCTTAAAAAAATATATAATATTTTTCTCGTAATATTGACTCACTCATTCTCGTACTTCCCTCACAAAGTGGCAACTTTTGTAAAAGTGGAGCTTACAATACATTTTTTCAAAGTTTATATCGGGAGCTAACAAAAATAGATAGATAGACTTTTTTTCCAAAAAAATATTCGATTAAAGATTTCTTGGAACTCTTGCATATTTTTGCGAATCAAAACCAAATGTTATGTGATTGTATCAGATCAAAGGATATTAATACATATATGTCTATAAAAGAGGAAGAGGATTGTTTGTTTGTAATTAATAGACTCGAAAACTGCTAAACAGATTTTCCTGAAAATTTTCACACATATTACAGCATCGCCTGAAAGTAACATAGGCTACATAAATTTTTGAAATTCAATTTGGAACTGGAGATAGGTTCCTACAAAAAAATTAGTTTTTCATAGACATATTTATTGATCGGTTATAGATACAGTATTCAAATTTGGAATGTGAGACGGAAATCGGTGCAAAAATTAATTTTCCAAATTATGATGAAATCGGGTCAGATTTGGATATAATTCCCATATATATATTTTCGGCCTACTTCGTATATTTGTTGAACCAAACGCACTATGTATCTCCAATTACAATGAAATTTTAAATGTGTAATGGAATTTGGTACTAAAATAAATTTGCCAAATTATATACATTTTCTGTCGATTTCGTATATTTGCTGGAACAAACACGCTGTGTATCTCCAATTTCAATGAAATTTGGAATATGTTACGGAATTTGGTACCAAAATAAATTTGCCAAATTATATAGAAATCTTCCATATACATTTTCGGCCGATGTCATGCATTTGATGCACCAAACACACTATGTATCTCCAATTTCAATGAAATTTTGAATAGTAACAGAATTCGGTACCAAAATGAATTTCCCAAAATATATAAAAAACGGTTCAGATTTCGATATAGCTACCATATGTATATTTTACTGATTTCGTTTATTTGATGCACCAAACACCCTATGTATCTCCAGTTTCAATTGAGTTTGGAATTTGTGACAGAATTTGGTCTAAATAATAACCTAATAACACCCAGGACAAACTCTTTGGGTATGCGGACTAAATTTGGTGTTTCTGCTTTTCTCATGGTCAGCAGTATATGACATTATTTCACTTTTATTTATAAATCACAAAATATTGGTGTATAACATTTTGAATGCATAATACAAAACCGAAAGGGAAGCGAAGTGCACCGGGCTCAGCTAGTCTATATACAAAATAATAGACTGTCTGATTCATCAACACCCACGAGAATAGTTTGAAGCTAGAATCTTAAAATTTTGCATGTAGATCGATGTGGGTGTGTAGGGGTGAAATAAGGCCAAGTTTTTGCAATTTCTAGCTATAAGTGTCCTATTCGAATTTCGAACTATACATGTACTAAAATCCACTAAATTTGGTTCCACTTTTATTATTATGTGAACGGAAAGAGCTAAAATCTCGACATTTGGTATGATAAATTAATTGTGAACAAGTTAAAAAGTATCTGTCGGTTTTGCCGACAGGTGTATATCCTCAGACAATGTACGATTATTTTAAAATATTTTGACTTTTGTTATGATTATTAAAACTCTTGACCCTCTATGGAGCGGGTTTTGGAAGGATGGGCCAATATTGTCCATTTCGTATCAGAACTAAATAAATATGATACAAACATTGCGACGTGCCTGGTTTAGACTATATTGGTAACTTCCTTCACTTTACATGACATATATGATAATTTTTAGAAAATTTTAGCATTTGCGTGAGGTACCAAATATAGTAGACCGAAGTATTTCATTTTCATACTTCATCTAATACATATAAAAATATTGGTAGTGCAATATTACAAGAAAATCGAATATTTATATCCAATTAATGGAAAATCATAAATTCCATATTTATCTCAGGTTTCTGGCAAAGAGAGATATATTTTTAGATATAGCAAGTTGTAAAGAATCGCTGATTTGTTTCGCAAGTTATGACAGATACAAGTATTGAAAATTGTGGCCCTTTGTGGGTGAGGTACCAGTAGGTATATCCCCTATCATCTCCACAACAGATCTTTTGTCAGCAAAAATGTTTGTGTATGTGAAATTTGAATGCTTATTTCGCTTTCTTTGAGCGTTTTATTTTTCAAATATTTGACCCTTTGTCGGGGGAGGTATCAGAAGAAATGGTCCATCTCTATCATCTTTATAACAGATCTTGTGTTAACGGAAACATTGAGATGCACAAGTCTTAAGGGAATCTGATGTTAATTTTTTATGAGCTTCATGGATATTTAGAATTTTGACCCTTTGTGGGGGAGGTACCAGAAGGAGTGGACCGATATATCCCATCTTCACAGCAGATTTTGTGTTAGTAGAAATCATTGGAAATGTAAAATATGAAGAGAATCGGTTACTATTTCCAATTTTTTTATAATAGTTTTGTTTATTCAAAACATTGACCCTTTGTTGGGGAGGTACCTAAAGAATGGTCCGATTATAACAGATCTTGTCTTGATGGAAATATTGATTTGTATCTAAATAATTTACCGTTTTATGCGGTTCATGGATATTCAAAAATTTGACCCTTTGTGGGAGAGGTGCCAGATGGAGTGGACCAATTTTCACACCAGAAAATGGGTGAGAGTTATAATGATGGGGGAGATACTTGATGGAGTGGACCGATTTGTCCATTTTCGCACCTAACCTAACACTGCAAATATTAGGATTTGCAAAGTTGGAGTAAAATCGGAGTATCCTTTCTTGTTCTGTGCAGCAAAATATTTTTGGAAAACCTTTTGTGGGGGAGTTACCAGAAGGAGTGGACCGACTGCGAACTCGATCTAAGTTTGATAATAATATTACGATGTACCAAGATTGGATCAAATCTGATAATCTTTCGAGAGTTATCGTGCGCTCCAGCCAGCCAAAAAACAGACGGACGGACGTATATCGCTAGATCGACTCCAAATGCCCTGAAAGGGAGTCTTAAAGTCTAAAACCATTATTACGATGAGGGGCGTTTTATGGCTGAGGGGTTTTATATGGGTTTGTTCCACACAGAAAGAGAAAGGACAGTTCGATTTTGTGCAAACTTTGCAAATCCCAATATTTTTATCAACGGTAGGTTAGGTGCGAAAATGGACAGTGTGGGATCACTCCATCGAGGAAGCGAGATAGACTCACAGTTACTTTTGAGGATCACTGAGAATCACTTTCTGAGTCGATTTATGCATGTCAGTCCGTCCGTCAATGTATTCTTGAGAAGAAAATGCAGGTTGAATTCTTTATCCGATTGAGAAATTTTCCAAACAATATTTGTTTGGCCCAAAGACAAAGCCTTTTGAAATAGTATCAGATTTAGATATAGCTCCATATATCTTCAACCGATTTCGGGTTAATTGTGCACCAAATGGCTAATATAAATCCGAATAACCTGTATTTTGGCATATCTCACTCATAAAGGGTCAGAAGTTTGAATAATCATAACGCAAAGTTGGGGGTATACATCAGTAAGCAAAACCGGCTGTAACTATTTAACTTGTTCAATAGAACAAAAATAATACGACATTTTTACTGATTATGAAAGTGGATGTCACAATTTTTGGACCATTACACGTTGGACAGAATTCCAGAGAATATACATTATACATGGAAATCGAGTCCTTATGGATTGCAACAAAACACCCTAGCCACAAACATTCCTTTACATCAGCCAACACATACTTTTCAATAAACGGATAACAAATTTTGATAATTTAGTGTTGCAATCACCAGGAACTAAATAATAATTTACCCTTTTTGAAATTTGAAATGAATGAAAAATTTATGAAACTATTCTCATTTCACTAATTCTATTTTCCCCTCGCTTCGACTAAGTCGTTCAACTCACATACACATGTTCGATGAGATTATGTTCCGCTTTCCCAAACCACTGTAGGCTTACATTTACCATCTGTTCATTATTTATTAATTCATATTGAAAAATGTCTAATTATCCGGATAAAGTAGCAATCCATTAGATGCTACAGAACTTACAATGAAATACCCAAAGTGTGCATCAAGACAGCGAGCTGCTGACGTAAATACCAAACTCTACACAGACTTACACTCACATTTTCGAATATCCTTGTGTGCATATTTGAAAACTCTCCCCAAAATTTGTTAACATAACTCGGTGTGTCTCTCCTCCTCATTTTCAGGTATTCTCGATACCATCCTAAGTGTACAGCCAAAGGAGGGCGGCGGTGGCGGTGGTGAAACCCGTGAAAGTATTGTCTATCAATTGGCCGATGATATGCTGAGGAAATTGCCACCTCAGTACAACGACTATGAGGTGCGTGAGAATCTCGTTCGTATGGGTATCCTATTGCCGATGAACATATTCTTGAGGTAAGTGCTTTCCACCATATGAGTACCTTGGGAATGATTGGATTACCAAGATGATAATGATAATGATGAAGAAGACGGCGATGATGATAATGAAAACATGGTTAATATGCTTGACTTGACATTGAATATTGGTATTGGGTGAAAGACATTATCGGAGCGCAAGGCATTAGGATTGCTTTTCTTGTGCGATAATTAGATTAGCGTGCACACAAGAAGCTTTTTGTCATTTTTAATTTGAAGTTTATAAGTTTTCCGCACTTCACAGCGAATTAAGGTTACGGTATTTAATGTAGATAATTTTACACACTTGATAAAAAAGGGAGATATATATATTTTGTTCTTCTTAAAATTGGAATAAATAGGAAAATTGAAAATGTATACTTTAGATACATGTTAATACATATCGCTGCGACGGTACCATACGGTACCACTTTCAGTCATATTTTCATTGATGGAATCTGCAGGCCAACATTTGTGGACGTGAGACGTTTAATATAAAAATGGAAAACTATCCTCTCCGCAAAGAATTGGCTAATAATTACCAACAAAATTAATCAAAGGTACCAGAGACCTATTAATACTGAAAAAATGGGATGAGCATCTAAAATTTATTTACAAGTTTATGCAACTAATTAATTAAAATTTAAACCTTTTTGTGGGGGAGGTACAAGAAGGAGTAAGCCGATAAATTCTATATTTACATCAGATCTTGGGTTGCCAAGTTTTAAAAGAATCGCTGACTTGTTTCGCAGATTATAAGAGACATAAAAAACCAGGTCTTGTGTTAGAAGAAATATTGGAATGTGTAAAATTTTACTAGAATACAGGGTGAGATGAAAAAACTGCAACCAACTTCAGATTGCTGTCATTTCTAAGCCACTTGTCCGACATTATTCCAGTGACAGCTCACTTTATTGTTTACAAGCGTACAAATCCATTTGGAGAGAATTCTCCAGAAAAAAAAATATTCGTGATGGAATTCAAGCGTAATAGTGTGATTTCTTTATATTTGGCTGGAAAACCACGAGTGGCTATCGTTAGAGCACTCCAGCATTTAAATGTGAATAAATCTTTTGTGCCTCGTACAATCGCTCGTTAACATGATACTGGAAGCGTAGCCCGACGTCAAGGAAGTGGACGGAAGAAAACAGCAACATCAGCAGAAATGGTTCGAAAAGTAAAAAAGCGACTTAATCGAAACCCTCGTTGCTGTAGCCGACAATGGCTCGTGAGCTGAATATATGAAAATATCGCAAAATTCCATTGAAATTCCAAAAAGTGCAAGAACTTATACCGCAACGGAAAGAAAATAGACTCAAAAGAGCTAAAGAGTTGCTTCGCTTGGCCGAAAGTGGTGAACTGCCGCCATAATAGCTGATGGTCGCTCTCTGCTCGTATTAATCGGCCGTGGCATCAGAATAAATGCCGAATTTTATCGAGAAAATATTCCGGAGGGTGTATTAAAGCCTTGGACACGCCAGGACTCAGCATCATCGCACTTAGCCATCCAAGAATGGTTACAAAATAGTTACAAACTGAGGTTTTAGGTCGCACTAAAAAATAACAAAGTGACGATCACCTCAAGCAAGCCCTTCGCCGGAAATACCGCAGAGCATCATTCGGGCAGCGTGTGACGGTTTGAAGACCATAATTCCTGCCAAAGGTGACCAATTCGAACAAATTTAAACTTATTCTAAAATTTGATGCTATTTCCGACATTTTTGCTTTCATTCAATACAAAAATGTAAAACTTATGACTTTTGATTTTGTTGTAGTTTTTTTTTTTATCTCACCCTGTGCTCACAAGAAACTCTTTGTGTGGACTATCAGAAAATTCCATTGAAAAAATGTGGTAAAAATCCTAAAAATACTGAATATCGGAAGGTGCCGTTATATGGGGATATACGATATTGTGGACCTATATTGACAATTCTCTTTCAGGAGGTAAAGTACTCAAAAAGAAGTCAGACAATTCGACTGAAAAATGATAAAATCCTCAAAATGCAGAATATCGCGGGGTACCGTTATATGGAGGCTATACGATATCATGGGCCGATATAGCCCATCTTTGAACTTGACCTGCTGCAGACAAAAGATTGAAATGGGCAAAATTTTAGCTTCCTATCTTAATTTGTTTTGACTGTAGCGTGATTACAACAGAAGGACGGACATGGCTAAATTGCCTTAGAATTTTACGCTGAACAAGAATATATATACTTTGTTGGGTCTAAAATTATTAGTTCGATGGGTTACTTTATATGGTGGATGGTATAAAAGGGATAACACGAACTGTTGGAACGAATCTAAAATTTTAAGGTGGACTTTTTCCTGACAAAGTAGCTGGCACTTGCTTGTCATTTATATATGCATGAAATAAAATGGGATTTTAGCAAACGTTGTCTTGTGTAAAAAAATTAGTGGCTCACCTGAAACATTAAAATACGGAAGAAAGTGCCGCGTCAAGGACCTACTTTTGAATTACATACTGCAATGATTATAATTTGTTCATTAGTTTTAGAAAACTGCGCTTTTTCGGAGAGCCTTGTGATCCTGGAGGCAAATCTCGATATGAAGAATTTGTAAGCGTTAAGAATTATCAAGATTTTCAAAGAAAATGATTGGAATTTTTATAAGCTATATTTCCGACTATAGACTCTGGCTCCGATTCCGAAATGTGAATTTTAGCTTCTTTATATTCATAACAAATGTATAGTAGCATATTCCAATATATTTAAAAATCTTTTATTTTTTTCCAACTTTCTAGGCAAGAAATCGATCGAATGCAAAAAGTTATAAAACGTGTCTACTCCTGTTTGTGTGATCTGAAGTTGGCTATTGATGGCACCATTATAATGAGTCCAGCCTTAAAGGATTCCTTGGATGCTATGTACGATGCTCGTATACCAGAGTCTTGGATGAAGGTAAGTCAAGCAAGTTATTGTGTACTGAGCGACATTAGTTAAATTCAAAGCAGAGCTCTTTCTCTACTCGGATTCAATGGTGTACTCCTACGAGTAAAAAAAGAACAGAGTATACTCTATATTTCTACGCAATCCAAATAAGAACGAGTAGGCTTTATCCGTTTACGAATGAGGGGAATATGAACTCGAAATCGAGCAGATTATAGTATTGCAGCGTAGTTTTAGATTTTGGTCACACCGTTATTTTAATTTTAAGTATTCTCATCCAGAAATAAATGCGTTATAGTGCATTGTCGCCAATCTTTACCAACAAAGCATATGATAGTGGGTTGCTATGTTGTTTTTGCACGAGAAATCCACCGTTCTTGTGAATATTGCCAAAATTCAGTTCATTTGGCCTGATATTAGCCACTTGGTGCACAATAAACTTGATATCGGATAAAGATATATATTGGTACTATATCCTAATCTGATCCCATCTCGATAAAATTTGACAGAGCTATTTTTGACCTCCATAAGTTTTCTGGTACCAAATATAATTCTTGTGGAGTGCATATTGCTCATGTGAGGGACCTAAAACTCCAAATCGGATGATACATATATATGGGTGCTATAGCTTTATTGAACCGATTTTCTGTGAATTTGATGTAATTGCTTCTAGACTGAATTCGATCGAATGTGTCAAAATTTAGGTCATTTGGTCTGATATTGGCCATTTGGTGCCCAATTAACCCGAAATCGGTTAATTTGAATCGATTCTCCGATTTCAATAGGGTTCGTCCTTGGGCCAAACAAATAGAAAATTTAATTTCAATTGGATAATAAATGCGATCTGCATTTTGTTCACAAAATTACATGGACAGACTGACATGCATAAGTCGACTCAGAAAGTGATTCTATGAACATCCTCAAAAGTAACTATGGGTCCATATCGATTCCTTCTCCATTTTACAAACAAATGCACAAAAACACAATACCCTTACAACTATGTGGTATAGGAAATAAAGATGGATGAGCAAACTTCTTAAAACTTACTATCACTCGCTAGGGCAATTAAAAAAATCGGAGCGCTGGCTTAAGCTGTTAATTAATAATATGTTTCCTTTTTTGGAGAAGTCAATTGTTTTATACCTCTCAAAACTTGTCTTTTGGGAATAATAAGGAACATTAACATAGGTTGCCATGAATTTCTCCAAGAGGAAATTTTTCATAATATATAAAGTTGTATTGTGAAGATATATGAATTGAATTTATAATGTGTTATTTCTACAGAATAACCAATTGGCCTTCAAATTAAGGACTAAATTTAGGATTCCTATAAAATTAATTATTTTCAAATAAGTTTTAATTTAAGATTAGTTAAGATTTTCCTGCTAATTATGATTTGATTTGCTGTAAACTTTGATTTACTACTTACCGAACTCTCTTACGCATTAAGAACATTGCAAAACTGCGAAACATTTATCCCTGTTACCAAATTTAATCAGAAACTGTTTTAAATTGTCAACTGGAAAAATTACATAAAATAAATTCGCGTGGGGTTGTTGAGATAACATCATTTTGCTGATTTTTAATTTAAATAAATAATCAAATGTATTGCAAATGACATTGAAACGTAACAGTTACTGATGATGTATGTCCCACTGACTGACCGACTGACGGTACATGCATGGGAATTTGCCATATTTGCCACATTATAATCGGCTTTTTTGTTTGTTCGGTGGTCGATTCCGTAACATTGTAGCTGTAGATTATGCAAATTATTTGTAATTGGATATGGATTGGCATATGTATGCATGTAATTTTATGTATGAATGTATATTTTTGTGTCTATTATTAAATCCGATTTAGATTTACAAATCTGTTTTCATAAATAGATTGAAATGGACGAAATTATGTTTGAATCGAAGTCAGTTGTAAATGCAGTGGACTCAAATGGGGAGAAAATAGTGACAAGTAAAAAAAATCTATGGATTTTGATTTTGACAGAAATGAGTGATGTATTGCATTTTACCATTTAATTGGTCTGATTAAAACTGTTACAGTGGAATTGAATTTAATTAACTCACAGTCTCTGGAGGGAGTGCACCCTCTGACGGGCATATGGTTATGTGTTTACTAAACTTGGAATAAGTTCAGAAATTGACAATATCGATGCACATCAACATTAAAAAAACAAAAATTCGAAAAAATTTAGAACTGCCGCTTTCAGTATTGCTGGTAATGACAACCATATTGCATCTGCATTCACAGTTTCTTTAAAAAAAATAATGACAACCGCAAAACTATTAAAATACGCAAGTCAAAATAGCATATAAACAATGAACGGAGAGCACATGCGTCTACCATGAAATTGGTGATAATCGGATCAGATTTAGGTATAGCTCCCATATATCCGATTCGGTTTAATTGTGCACCATACGGCCAATGTCTGTCCAAAAATCCTGAATTTTGGTACATCCGACCGAAATCAGTCTAGGAGCAAGTACATCAAATTTGATGAAAATCGTTGCAGATATAGCTATAGCTTCCATATATATGTTTCATCCGATTTAATATTTAAGTCCCCCACATTCGTAATAACAATGAAATTGTGTACCAGATATCTTAAAGAGCTTGGAAATACATTCGCCAAATGTTATCGAGAGCAGATAAGATTTGGACATAGCTCCTATATATATCGTTAATCCGATTTCAGGTTTATTGTGCAAATAATAGCTAATACAAGCCAAAACGGAGTGAATTTCGGTGCGTACGTTTCCATTTTGTGAACCTCGGCTTCGATATAAAAATTTTTAATATAATCCTTCTCGATGTAATCTCATGTACTGTACAGGGTGAGATGAAAAAACTGCAACGAACTTCTGTATTTTTCTAAGCCACTCTTCCGACGGCTGTTAAAATTATATTGCTTACACACGTACAAAAGCATTTTGGTGAGAATTTTCCAGAAAAAAAGTTATTCGTGATGGAATTCAAGCGTGATAGTTAAAACACTCCAGCATTTAAATGTGAATAAATCTTTTGTGTCTCGTACCATCGCTCGTTGCCGTTATACTGGTAGCGTAGCCCGACGTCAAGGTAGTGGACGCTAGAAACCAGAAAGCAACATCAGCAGAAATGGTTCGAAAATTAAAAAAGCGACTTGATCGGAACCCGCTTCGCAATGGCCGACAAATGGCTCGTGAGCTAAACATATTGCAATATTGCATTCGGCAACTATTGAAAGGTGAGCTCGGGCTAAAATCATTGAAATTCCAAAAAGTGCAAGAACTTATACCGCAATAGAAAGAAACTAGACTCGAAAGAGCTAATTCGCTTGGTCGAAAGTGGTGAACTGCCGAATTTGGTTTTCTCCGATGATAAAACATTCATTGTCCAGCAGTTTGTAAACAAACAAAATGATCGTGTTTACTTGCCAAGAGGTGGCACCTTCGATTGGCCACCAGAACTCAAACGCCGGCCATGGTGTGGGCCGCCATAACAGTCGATAGTCGCTCTCCGCTCGTATTAATCGACCGTGGCATGAGAATAAAGACCGAATATGATGAAATTTTACTCAAATGTGTGTTAGCGACTTTCGGTATTGAAAATGGGCTATAGGTCCACGTTTAGGTATAGCCCCCATATAATTGTACTTCCCTATATTCGGCAGTTTGATGTATTTGGCGACATTGATCACCGGAATGTTTTTTCAAATTTCGTTGTGATAGTTCGTAATGGGTGCTACAGCCTGTGACAGAAAATTGGCTATGCTGAAGTCCCTATAGCCCGTCTTCGTATAGCCCCCATATAACGGTACCTCCCTATTTTCGGTATTTTGATGGTTTTAGCGACATTATAGACCGGAATTGTGTCATATTTCGTGTTTGGATTTCCTAATAGGTTCTACAGTTTATGACGTAAAATTGTCTGTGCAGGTCCAGGTCTTCGTATAGCCCCTAAATGTCGGTACCTCCCGATGTTCCGTATTTTTATGATTTTAGCGACTTTATTCACGGGATTTGTTTCAAAATTCGCATTTGAAGTTCCTAATGAGAACTACACCCTATGACAGAAAATTGTCTAAGCAGGTCTTCGTTTAGTTCATAAATATCGGTAACTTCCTATATTCGGTATTATTCACCAGAATTGCTAAAGTTTTATATTTGCAATGTTGGCCACCAGAACTCAAGCGACGGTCATGGTGATAGTGTGGACCGCCATAACAGCCGATTGTCGCTCTCCGCTCATATTAATCGACCGTTAATCAGAATAAATGCCGAATATTATCGCGAAAATATTCTGGAGGGTGTATTAAAGCCTTGGACACGCAAACATTTTGGCCGCAGACGTTGGACATTCCAACAGGACTCAGCGCCATCGCACTCAGCACGCGCCATCCTAAAATAGTCACAAAATGCGGTTCCGGATACCAATCCGTTGGACTATTGTGTCTGGAGTATTTTGGAAAGCAAGGTTGGCACTAAAAATACCAAAGTGTCGATCTCCTCAAGCAAGCGCTTCGCCGGGAATGGTCTAAAATACCGCAGAGCAACATTCGGGCAGCGTGTGAAGGTTTCATTGGCCGTTTGATGGCCATAATTCGTGGCAAAAGTGACCAATTCGAAAATATCTAAATGTAAAAAATATGGTGTTTCACTTTGTGGGAGTCTTTTTTATCTCATCCTGTATACGGCATGATTAAGTTTTTAACAGAATTTATAACGAATTCTATTATTTATCTATATCTTTAAAAGAGGAAAATGTTTGTATGTTTGTTTGTTTGTAATTTATGGACTCGAAAACCGCTGAACAGATTTTTCTGAAAATTTCCATGTATACTGCAACATCGCCTGAAAGTAACATAGGCTTTATACATTTTTGAAATTCCACTTGGAACTGGAGATATAGCATCAGAATCGGAGGTACCTCCCAAAAATTTAGATTTTATATGCACATATCTATTGATCGATTACAGATACAGTCTTCAAATTTGGAATGCCTAAAGGAATTTGGAA